GTTAATGTTTTGTTGACATAGTTGGATATGTTATATGATGATGATTGATTCTGTTAATTAATGATGTGGTTGTCTCTGATTACTTAGAACTCTACCTACAAGTACTATGAGATCATCCTAGTTGACCCTGCACCCAATGCCATCCGGAACGATCCAAGGACCAACTGGATCTGCAACCCAGTGCACAAACTCAGAGGGCACACCTCGGAAGGAAAGAAGATTCGTCGTGGAAGGGGTCACAACAACCACAAGAACCGTCCTTCCCACAGGTCTACCTGGAAGACAAACAACAGCATCTCTCTCTCCGTCTTTACCGATCATCAACTCTATGTTTTGTTTTTATCAAGTGGTATATCTTCTGTGTGGATCTATATTTCTGAATTCTAGAATTGCTTTGAGATGGAAGACTTTCACAGTCGAGAGTTTGTTTCAAGTTTTTGTTTCTTAAAACTTTGAATCTGACCATAAGGCTAAGTTAATTTTGATGTTGGTTTTGTTTTTACATGAAAGAGTATGGAGATTTGCTCGTACTTCTGAATGTGAATAGACTTGAGATATCTTGGTTCTTTTAAAAAGTGGACAATGTCAAAGCTATTTGTATGATAAGCTTTGTACCTGGTAGAGGAGAATGGATTGAAGTGATTTCTCTTTAGAGTCTTTCTTCAGTGAAACTGTCCTTCAGATTAAGGAGAGCTTGGCGGATCGAGGCTTTTGCCTGTCTAGAATATTTCAGGCAAATCAACCTTTGAGCCACTCGGAAGATACAATGCATTTCGTGGTGCTTCCCGCAATTTCGCTCTATTCTTTTCTCTTCCTGCCCAACATTCATCATAAACAAGAGGACTCATAGGACAAAAGATAGATACGCTTTCAATTTAGTAAGGGAAGGGTATATAATAGTACCTTTTGACGGGAAAAAGTCAGTAAAAAATGCTTACGCTTTGAGTGATAAGAGATACTCGCAGCAGCTCCATGCCATTGCTAAACCATCTGAGGAAGAAGTCCTGCCGGTTGTTGAAAGGGAGTTTTAGATTTGGCAAGTTGAATTCCTCACGATACTTACTGGCCAGATTATGTATTGCTGCCAGTGGTTACAAGATTCAGATTAGTAGAACAGATTTGTAAAAGGGAAATTCAGTGATAATACAAAATGAAGCACATTCTTGGTTCACCTTCACTGGTATCACAGAAGGTTCTCCTTGCAATATCCAAAAATCCATCAATTCCGGCTTTTAAATCAAGACAGTGTTGTGTGCATGGAGGA